GGTTCATGCCTATAATCCTGTCTACGCAGGAGGCTGAGATCTGAGGATCATGGTTCTAAGCCAGCCTGGGTAGACTCTAAGCTCCAATTAATCAGAGGAAACAAACAAACAAAAAAAAGCCCAAAGTGGAAATGTGGCCGAAGTGGTAGAACATCTAGTGGGAGAGTAGCCAGACCCTGAGTTCAGACCACAGTATCCACATACACACAGAGACAGCGAGATAGGAAAGAAAGAAGGAAGGAAGAAAAGGAGGGAGGAAGGAAAAAGGGAAAGGAAGGAAGAGAGAAAGAAACAGGAAGGAAGGAGGGAAGGAAGGAACAAAGGAAGGACGGACAGACCATTTTTGGGCTCAGGTTATCACTGAGTCAAAAGCAATTTCCAGGGGCTGGGAAGGTGGCTCAGTGGTAGAGCACTTGCCTTGCATGCCTGAGACCCTGGGTTCGATTCCTCAGCACCACATAAGCAAAGAGAAAAAAGCCAGAAGTGGCACTGTGGCTCAAGTGGTAGAGCGCTAGCCTTGAGCTGAAGAGCTGAGGGACAGCGCTCAGGCCCAGAGTTCAGGCCCCACGACCGGACCAAAAAAAAAAGCAATTTCAACTATAAAGAGGTCTCCCTATTTACTTAGTGTCCTGCTCAGAGTAAATCTTTCAAGAAAAGGAGGAGAAAGAAGAAACTTTCCAGAAAATGAGAGACAGGAATTAAGATTTAGTCCTGGGCACAGGGCTGGAAGTGGTAGGAGGCAATCTAGGCAGTTATATAGGATCTCACTAGGAAAGAGTTAAGTAATTTGAAAAGCCAAAAAGAAAGGAGAATTTTTAGATGAAAATAGGGGAGATTGAGATCCAGGGTGAAAAGGATGAGGTGAGTAGAAGATATTGGGGAGAAACAGCAACAGGAAATGGTAACAGAATGAGGCAGGGCTATGTGTCTCATGGTGTGAACTGAAGCCAGGCCACCACACAGGGCCACTCCCTGATCCTTAGGCATTCATAGGGACCTTTGCCCTGCCACACTCCAGTCCTGACAGCCTTTCTGTGCCAGGACAAGTTATGGACATCTGCTCTGAGCACCCAAGCCCCAAAGACGTTTCACGACACAGCTAGGTCCCATCCCTTTAAAGCAGCTGCTCCAGACTAGGTAAGTATATTGGTTCTGGGCCTCCACACTGGATTGGGAGGGTGCAGAGGGATAACTGAAAGAGATGTTGTTGCAGGTCCTATTTCCTGGAAGACAAGTCCCATAATGAATTTTTCTAACCTAGGAAGTACCCACATCTTGTAGTGAAGGGAACTATGGAACACAGAGCTAATCATGGAGATCAGGAGAGACCCAGCCTTCGTCTGGAAAAGCTACAGCACTGGGCAAGACACAGACAAAGTGGACACCTCTTGGTGCTGGCGGTGAGGCCAGGCTGCCCCAGGCCAGTCTTAGAATGTCTGTTTGTACCTAATTCAACTTCATTCAAGCTGAATGAGCACCTACTGAGAAATTGTGCCTAGCCAGAAATTGCTAGGCTCTGAGTGGGAGGAGGGTGGGAGAAATTTAGAAAAAAAACAAGGCAAGACACTTAATCTCTCAGGAGCACTGACTATTAGGAATACAGGTAAGTAACTAAACTACAACCTGAAGCAGAAAAAAATTAAATGGAGCCAGGTGCTGGTGGCTCATGCATGCTTGTAATCCTAGTTATTCAGGAGGCTCTGATCTGCAGACCATGGTTGAAAGGCAGCCAAGGGGAGAAAAGACCAAGAGACTCTTACCTCCAGTTAACTAGCAAAAAACTAAAAGTGGAGCTGTGGTTCAAGTGGTAGAATATGAGCCTTGAGTGAAAAAAACTAAAGGATAGTGTGCCCAGGCCCTGAGTTCAAGCCCCAGTACTAGCACAAGAAGGAAGGAAGAGAGGGAGGGAAAGAAGGAGGGAGGGAAGGAAGTAAGGAAAGAAGGTTAGGCTAAATAAGTGTGTAGTCCTTGGCCTCAACTCTGGCTGAAATGGTATTTAACCCTGGTTGGCTACTTTCTTTCTATCTCAAATTCATCCCACATACTGATCTCTGGAAAAAGCAAAGGTTGGGAGGAGGAAAAGAGAATCTTTGAAGGGTACTCCTAAACTATCCTGCCCCGACCTTCATCCAGGTAAGCCAGTTATGGCTGGCAATTGCTATGGTGCCCTTTGCTATCTCAGTTGCCTGCTTGAATTCTGCTTGTTACATGGCCACTGCACTGCCACTGGGGCCTGGAGTCTTGGTAAGATCCACAAGGGAGGGAGGGAGGTCCTCAGGAGCCCTCCCTATGGGACCAGAGTTCAACACTTGCCCTGCTCACCATTTAGGGTCTTCTCACTGGGACTGTCACTCTTGAGCTTCGCAGAGCACCCTGCCTTTGGAAGGTAAGACTAAAACACCAGTCTGTCCGTGTACCCCCTAATACACACACACACATACACATAAACACACACAGAGCCCAGGAAGTGACTCTTAAGCGTTGGCTTAAGCTCTCAGCTGTCTGTCCCTGACTGATCTAAAAGACTGTGAGTAAGAAAGTTAGAGGACTGATAACCCTATGTGGAGGAGGTGAAGCAGTAGCCAATTTTTCCCCCGTCGGTTGTGGGGCTGAACTCTGGGCCTGGGCGCTGTACCTCAACTCTTCAGCTCAAGGTTAGCACTCTACCACTTGAGCCATAGCACCACTTTGGCTTTTTCTGCTTATGTGGTACTGAGGAATCGAACCCAGGGCCTTATGCATGCAAGACAAGCACTCTTCCACTGAGCCACCCTCGCAGCCCCAAATTTTGTTTTTAGCTAGGCTGTAGGTGGGACTTTGGGTTAGAATAGTTCCTCTAGTCTGGGCAGGGCTCAACTGGCTTACTGGCAGGTGCGGGCCATGATGATATTCAACATCTTCAACTTGATCTTGGGCTTCATCGTGGTAGTGGTGGAGGTGATGAAGACAGCCTTGGGGCCTGCCCCTACTGCCCCCTCCCAGGTACTGGTAAATAAAAGAGAAGGTGGGAGGAGGAACCAGGCACTGGAGAGGAGAAATGGCATGGGAAAACACTTGTTGGATCCCCACAATATCTTCAATCCTGTTTATCTGCAGTTGGCAGGCTTGCTGGTACTGGAGCTCAGTGCTGAGGCCTTCACCCTAGGGGGAGTACTGTTCTCAGCATATGCCTTATTCTTGTTGAGCCAGAGGAAGCCAGGATGCTTCAGGAGCCAGAGTCTGCACTACCAGGAATTGCAGGAGGTACTAGTTGTTAGGAGGAGAGCATGGAGCAGCTCAGCTAGCATGCTAATCATGGTCACTGTCACTTAAAACAATGGAACAGGAGGGAAATGAAGGGGTCTTATATTAAATCTGATTGGCTTTCTGGCTTTAGCTACTCATCCCCTACTGGTGGAGAATTCTCCCCTAACAGGAGAATTGGGTATCTAACGTGACTGGGGCTAGAAGAATGAGTGAACATTAGAATGCTGCCTTAAATGTGTATTGAGAAAGGGTTGCAAGAAAAATGGGGAAGGAGGAAGGTGCTTTTATCTAGATTTTCCTTTTCACGTCTACAATTTGCTCATATGTCTGATTTTCAGGGCCCCTCTGAAATGGAGGAGATTGCTGGTTTGGAGAATGGTCCCAGAGTGGCCAGCACAGGAAATGGAACCAATGAGTGATCAAGCAAGGGGAAGCAGACAGGTGCTACTGTCCTAAAAGGGCATTCTTCAGACTCTCCAGTATCTCACTTACCAAACTCAAAGAGCTAGCTGCACTCCTTTGAGTCATGCATGAAGTCCAGAAGAGTGCTTTCAGTTTTCACTCAAAGCAAGCCCTTTCTTCTGCCTTCCCCTCTAGAGGAAGGGAGTCCTACTCATTTCACCCCTGTAAAACTGCTTCCTCCCATCCACCTCCCCCTTTCCTATTGCTCATTCATCTTCACATCTGCCTCATTTCACTGTTCTTTTCGGTCCACCTTTCACAACCCTATACACTCCATGCCCGTTCCAGCGCACACCAACCCTGAATCTAAGTCAGGGGTGCTCCAGTTCTCCATTGGATCCGGGGCCTGCCTACTCTAGCGGAGACTACAAGTCCCAGAATCCCCCGCGACCCCCGCGACCTGCCGGGAAATAAAGAGCCTTCCCTCCACCGTGGGGGCGCTGTGCATCTGCTGAGTGACGCTTGGCGCTGGAAGTCTGGGCCTAGCCGAGAGATTCCTCGGACGCGACCACTGGCCCAGTGTGCGGGGTGGACCTGGGCGGGCTGTCCAGGTCGGGGGCAAGACCACATCAGCCACGCAACTGTGAGCTGTCTGTGGGTGCAAAGCCCTCCAGCTAGGCAGCTGCGGAGCCCAGCGAGGACCGGCGGTTGGCACTTGGCAGAGCTTAGCTGTCCCAGAGGCTGTCGCAGCGCCCCTGCGCACGGGTGCCCAGGTCCAAAGTCCTGAGACTTGGAGCGCGCGCGAGAAAGGGGCTGGAGATGATGAGTCAGAAGCGTGGGGCCCTTCTCGTCCCCCTCCCCCGCGGCCTGGGCGCCTCGGGCGTGCTAAGGCTTGCTGAACGGGCGGGCGGACCTGGCGGGCAGGAGGGGAGCCGCGACCCGATCTAAGATTTTCCCGCCTATTGCGAGCACGCGGGTGGAAGGAGCCCGCGTGGCCGCCCCCCTTTCCTAGGCGGGAGCGGGACTACGCAGGCTCAGCCTTTTGGCCGTCCCGCGGGCCTTTGATCCCCGGCCGCGGTCAGGTTGCTGAAGCTCTGGCGGCTCAACCCCCACCAGTTACGATCTCTGCAAGTGTACCAAGATGAAGCTCTTGTGTGGGCTTGGGAAAAGCCCAGAAAAATTAGGAGCCCCAATAGCGCCAGCGGGCAGCTTGTTAGCCGCCAGAAACTAGAAACCGACCAGAGCTGGAGTACTAAGAAAACTCACCCCAAATTCAATAGTGCCCAGGATGGGTGTTCGCCTCACACTCATTTTTGTTCCCACTTGAGAAGGCTTCTTTCCCTAGAGAAGGCGGCTGCTCGGGGCTCAGCCAAGCCCAGGTACCAGTGAGGGGAGAGCGCAGCCTGGCTGCCTTGCCCTGACATTGCAGTGGCGCCAGCTGCTGCTCCTTTCTGCCTGTGACACCTTGGGAGTGGTAATAGGCGCCCTATGACAAAGTTACGTGTGAGTACTAGTGGGTGGGGACAGTTCTGGGATCAGGCTCTGGAATGGTGAAAACAAGATCTGGGCCTTCCTCTTTTTTCTTCCACCTCCCCCCCCCCCCACACACACACACAACTGCCTGAATAATGGAGGGTTCATGCGTGAAGGGCTCTGAGAAAAGAATAATGTTCTTCAAAGCACGTGGTGGTGGATGAGCTAGGGGCGGGGGAATCACAATGTTCTCAGTCTACCAGCTTTCAATAACAGGATCAGAAGTGTAGTAACTGCATTTTAATTCTCAGAGCCTCAGTGACTATGCAAATAACCTTTTGGGGGCTGGAAGTGTAGCTTAGTGGTAGAGTCCTTGCCTAGCATGCATGAAGCCCTGGGTTCCATTCATCAGCACCACATAAACAGAAAAAGCTGGAATTGGCACTGTGGCTCAAGTGGTAGAGTGCTAGCCTTGAGCAAAAAGAAGCTTGGGGCTAGTGCCCAGACCCTGAGTTCAAGCCCCAGGACTGGCAAAAAATAATAGTAATAATAATCTTTTGTCAGATCAGGCTACTGTGTAATAATGCTTAAACCTTAGTGGTTTCAAACTACCAATATTTATTTCTCAATGAGCTGTGCTCATTGTAAATTATCCAGGTCTCAAAGATGATGAGTCTTAGTTCACTGTGGGGTGGTTTGCACGCACACAGCATACCAGTACTGAATCTTGAACTCAGGACCTGGACACTCCTTAGCTTTCTTGTTCAAGGCTTGCACTTTACCACTTAAACCACTGCTCCACTTCTGGCTTTTTGCTGGCTAATTGGAGATATGCCTTTACAGATTAGAGCCACCAGTGCCTAGCTTCACTGTGGGTTCTTGGATTATCTTGCTCAGAATGTGAAGTAAGCATGAAGAATTGTTTTTGCTCTGTCCCAGTGGGACACATGCTACTTTCCATCATAGTTCATTGGCTGAAGCAAGTCACCTGTAAAAGGAGAAACAAAGAAGAAACAAATGAAAAAGTAGTCTTTTGTGGTCATTTTTCAATTGTTCAAAAATTTGTTATCATGCTTCCCAGTTATCCTGGTTCTTACTTCTTTGATTGGACTCTATAAACCTCCTCAGAGAGGGGCTGGGATGTGGTTTAGTGGTAGAATACTTGCCTAGCATGCATAAAGTGCTCGGTTCTATTCTTCAGTACCACATAAGCAGAAAAAGCCAGAAGCAGCACTGTGGTTCAAGTGGTAGAGCTCTAGCCTTGAGCACAGAGAGGCTTAGGGACAGTGCCCAGGCCCTGAGTTCAAGCCCCAACCCTCAGAAAAGTTCTAAGAAATATATTAGAACTTTGTGTCAAGAACTTTAGATTCCAGTTCTATTGCTTGGATAAGTCAGATCTCCTTGAACTACATTTGTTTACATGAAGATTATAATCCTATTTATCCTTTTTCTTGCTGGAGTATAAGGCTAACATAAAGCACATAGGGAAAGTTTTAGAAGGCACTTAAGTTCAAGCTAATTGCTTATAAAGGAATAATTTGAATGGGTAAAACAGATTGAGTGTGAGGTAATAGGGGTAATGGGCACTGTGGCAGCTAGAGAATGCACGTTCTATTTAATGAATGTTTATTGCCGCTAAGCTCCAATTATTGCCTTATAGGATTCTGGGCCTGTCAGTGCCATGGCTTCTATTTTCCTGTAGAACTCAGGAACTCCATCTTTATAGATGTGAAATTTTCTGATTTACCCTCTGTTAGTTATTGATAACTAACAGATACAGGTGGCTTACACCTGTAATCCTAGCCACTCTGAAGATAGAGGTTTAAACCAGCCTGGGCAAAAAAAGTCTTTGAGACTCATATTCAGTTTAGCAGCTAAAGCCAGAAGTGGTACTGTGGCTCAATAGTAGAGTGCCAGCCTTGAGCCAAAAAGCCAGCAAGAGCCCAGTGGCCCTGAATTCAAGCCCCAGTACTGGCATGAAAAATAAAGTAAAATAAAACATAACTTTAAAAAAAAATTCAGTGGCCAGATTTAGTGTATAGTCTTTCAGTTGTCAGTTTCTATAGCAACATGTTAGGAATTCAGGTTTCAGATGTACAATATGGCTTGTGTAGACAGCGAAATATGAGTCTTACATGTATAGTAACATGTATTGAACACCTTACTATATTTCTAGAACATAGGTTTTCAGAGTAGAGCCATTTTTGCCCTAGAAAATATTATTCAATGTCTTGGGGACACTTTTGTGGCCACAACGGGGGAGGGGAGGAGGAGAAGGAAATATGTAATGGCAGGAGCATTAAATGAGAACTCACAAGCTTTGGGACTTAGTTCCCAGGCTACTAATGTCCCTTTCCTGGGCACAGCTGTCAGTCATAGGCATTCTCCATTCTTCCTGTCCACACATGATTGCAGCTTTGGACCCTCTGGACAGCCTACAATTGGTACAGCACTGTCCAGTAACCAGTGCCTGCCTTATCAGTGTTATATTCTCTATGGAGGTCACTTTAGTTGAATTAGAACTTCACAAAAAGAAAGGACTGTGACAAGGCTCTTGCTGGCACCAGTTTTCAAGGTCATGACCCCTATCTCTTGCTTTTAAGCATTGTAGAAGCCAGGTATCCATGGTTCAGGCCTGTAATCATAGCTACTCAGGAGGTTGAGATCTGAGGATTGTGATTCAAAGCCAACCCAGACAGGAAAGTCCCTAAGACTTATCTCCAACTAACTAGCAAAAATCCAGAGGCAGAGCTACAACTCAAGAGATGGAACACTAGTCCTGAGTGGAAAAAGCTATGGGACAGCACCCAGGCCCTGAGTTCAAACCCCAATAACAGCACAGATAAAATTTTTTGGAGTGTGCACACGCACACACACACATACACACACACACACAGGATAACATGTTTATGTAGACTTCCTATACAACTGAATTCTGTAATGGCTTAGAAAAGTCCCCATGTTGCCAAGCGCCAGTGGCTCACGCCTATAATCCTAGCTACTCAGGAGGCTGAGATCTGAGGATTGTGGTTCAAAGCCAGCCCAAGCAGGAAAGTCTGTGAGACTCTTATCTCCAATAAACCACTCGAAAACCAGAAGTGGCGCTGTATTTCAAGCAGTAGAGTGCTCGCCTTGAGCTGAAGAGTGCAGGGACAGGGCCCTAGCCCAGAGTTCAAGCCCCACAACCAACAAAAAAAGAAAGAAAGAGAGACAGAAAGAAAGGAAGAAAGAAAGGAAGGAAAGTCCCCATGTTGACGCATTTTCTTTTAAATGCAGTCATTCTTCTTTCTGGCTCTGAATATGCGAATATAGACAACTGACAATACTTCCCTAATGAATCCTCTACCGTTTGGACCCGGTTTTTGCAAGATGGCTCAGGTTTTGTGTTCCAGGCTGTGTCTTCTACTGCCACCTCGTGGCCTCTTGCTTGCCCAAGTGGAAAGCCTTCCGTTAAGAAATGGCGTTTGGCAGTGGCTTAGTTGACCAGACGCTTCTCTCCACTCTGTGGGGCCTCTGAGACCCCTCCTCCCATCGTGGGCCTGCCAGAGTTGGTTGTCCACACAGCCTGGAGGGGAATATGGGACTGGACCTAGATACGCGAGGCACAGAGCCCCTTACCGTCATCTATACCCCTTAGGGCTCGGTGTCTGTTATGTAATCCTGGCCACCAGCCATGAAATCAGTGATCTCAACTGCCCAGCAGTAATCCGAGCTGACCTCACTGGCTTGGCCTGAAGAACACCTCTTGCCACTTGCCACCTGGAGCTGGAATTCTCTTCATCTCAGTGAGAAGTAAAGCTGCCCCATCTGGGTTCTGTGTTCTGTCTTCTTTTCTAGGCACATTCAGTGTTGTTCAGTATCTTCTCCTTAATCTTACCATTGACAGTGGTAAAGGTGTGTGGTTTCTGTTTCCTATAAATATGAAAGG